GAGTCACCGTTGCCGATCTATACTAATTTTATGGATGTTAACGGCTGGGTGTGTACTGGATATAGCGTTTTGTGCTATAGAGTGAACGATTACCAACTGTCGACTTCCAGGGACCCATGTCAGCTGCGTAGCTAGTTGTGGCTCCAATAGGCACAACGCTACAACGCTGGTCTCATCTTGCTACTACTTCTGTAATGTACGTCACACAAAACACTGCTCATGTGGTAGGTGAAAAAGTGTTTGGTTGTCCTTCGCAGTTGAGTACTAGGAACTATAAATTCAGGGCATCTGCGCGCTTCAGCCCACTACAAAACACTGCAAGGCCCGTGATGGAAAAACCGCTGTGTGCGCTCCTATTGCTTCTTGGTGTCTCGTCAGCTCGGCCTATCAAACGTCCTCGTGAGTGCTTAAAGTTGTGCAACTATATGAATGTTAATTTAAAGGAAGCAAGCAAGATAGAGTTTTCAACTAACGCTAATGTTAGACTTTTGTCTTAAATGCATCAGCATTTCGCTTATTCATGCGCATGATTTGGCCCTCCTAGTTTACTTTCGGCTGAGCCTAGTTGGTTGATGAACAATGAACAATGAACAATGATTTATAACTGGTAAAAAATCAGGTGCTTGACATGTCCCGTAGGGTGTTTAGCGTGACAAAAAAGATAGAGCAAGGGATAATGGAGTCGTCAGTTCGGGCGCTTACAGATGTAACTGCACTGTCGTATAAAGAGAGTTTGAAATGAGAATGTAAGCACACAAAGCAATAGGGGAGTGGTTATTGATCACATAACAGGCGAGAAAAATAAAAAAGGTAGCAAGGAAAACGCTTACTCGTTTGCAACTATCTTGGGTCAACAGGATGCAGAACTCCAGTTTCTATAGTAGTAGCGTTTATCAAATTTCGTGCAAGGCGTTTGGAGTGATTCATTCTCGAGTAGGGTTATGGCACTATCCCCTGTCTGTTGTGCATTAATGCCAGCATCTGATGGTCGTGGGCTATCGTGAGTAGTGGAAATATGACAGAGTATCGTCAAGGCGTTTTTTGAAAAGGGATAGGGTGGATGCATTAATTACATGTTCCGGGACGCTTTCCAAGGCTGTGCTACTTGAAGGGAGAAATAGTTTCGTCGACATTCCAGGCGGCTGTACTGTGTGACTAACTTAAACTGGCGACCTCTTAGCGAGGTGTTTTGACTGAGTATTAGAAGGGAATGGCATGGGTGGTTGGGGTTTCTCAGGATCTGGTGCACCATTATGAGATCGCCCCTTAGACGCCGATAACGTAGATGAACACTAACAACCCAGTATGAATCCACCTGACTGGTTCCCATTAAACGAGAGAACACGCAGAAAACAATGGTTTCATTTAGTTTTGTTCATGTGACTCCGGTGTAAGAATAATTATGTGAACGCAGTATTTTTCCGATAGCATAGAATTTATTGTCCTTTGGTGAAAGAAAGAAATAAACAAATAAATAAATGGCATATTCCTCGGCGATGCGAGGTGCAGTCCAACTAGGTGGTCCGATCAATGTGTACAGCAGGATCGCAAAAAGTAAGCAGTTTGTTCACGCTTTATACAATGGATCTAAAACGGGTATTAAACTAATTCGCAGGTTTAAGGTATTAAAGAACTTAAAAGGCCAGGAACAATAACAAATGCTGATTTAAACAAATGTCCAGGTAAAGTAATACGGCCACTCGTGGAACCGTCCCCAGGGGACCTGCTTCCATGCAAGGCATTCCATCGATAGGTGTCGCCCGCACTTCCATGCTATACCTGGCCGCGTGCCGGTGTGGCATAGTAGCATATGAGCCATCACTTGTTTATCATATGTTGTGTTCTTTTTAGAGCTGCTTTTATACATGTATTATGGGCGATGAAGCCTCAGCTCCGTCCGTGAAGCGTGTGTTATGTCGTGAATGGATGATTGCTTTCGCTTTTGACTGGGTACTTATTGACATACTCTAATCACATCGTGGGTTAATTGTTCACGAAAGGACCGCAATGATCTACTATGATTACGACGTATCCTTGCCAACTGCGCTGAAACGGTCACCCACCGAAATTCCCACCCTGCTGTTGATATCGCCAAGCTGCCCGTTACCATTGACTTCCAGCCGGGAACAATGGATAACCTAATTTTTCGCCCCAAAAGTCCCGCAGTGTACCTTAGGTGACTGAAATGAGACCATTTGGCAATGCATTGATGTGTACTGATGTTCACCATTGCCGAGTGGAATGTGCACGTTTTACGTTAACGTTGTCACTACTAGATACTCCTCTTTCTTTCAGTGCGTCACTAAGTGGGAAGTTGCAATGTTTCGGAACACATGCTCTCTGACATAGTATGAAATAATTTTAGCGCGCGCTGTTTCCCGTGATAGTATAAGAACACAACACGCAAATTTGGTACCAATGTTGATGGGTAGTGTTTCGCTTGCATTTCCACCTCTCTGGGCTCTGTTCAAGCGTTCATACAAATTGTAAACTTTACAGCATCTGTTGACAATCAACCATGTCATAGAAGGTACGCTGCCTCCAAAAACGGCACAGTAGAATATACCGAAGGGACTGGAAACATCGCTTTCTGTAACTATGAAATCGCCGTTGACTCCAAAAGCCAAATACGGCTGGAATTTGCGAAAACGAATGTAAGTTGCAAACAACTTAATTGATATGCCATTTCCGGTCTTTCAACTTCATATCGAGTCATCATTGGCAGTCCCTCTGTACAAGCACATTGACATCAGACGATTTATGAGGTTGAACATCGTATGAAATGACAATTTGTTCATTTCGATTGCTTCTAAACACGATTTAATTACGATTCCATTATCTAGTTGGATAGGCTTGGTCCAGCTTTTGTGGACTACGTTTTAGCATTCGATGGACCAGATTGTATGTCAACACGGATTGGAGCGGTGAGCGGAAAGAGGACTCCAACGTTTACTTCCAGCGGCAACCAGATGACGGCTTTGTTTGTCAGAGGAAATATCGGCAAAGTCTTCAAAGCTATGTATTCCACAGGTAAGGATATTCAGGATGACAACACTAATTATTATGAGGAACTCTGAGTACACGTTTTAGGTAATTTTGTATAACCCTAGGCATCTGTCTCGATCGGTTTGCTTATTCCGGTTGAAGCAAGGTTGTCTTTAGGATGACATATTCCGTCTATCAGACGTCAAGCTCGAAGCTTTTAAAATAAGGCGTACGCTAAGTGAGAGGTTGATTTCCGCTTCCCACTGATCAGTGTCCCATTGGAGAATGCAGCACCATAGGAGTAATATCGTTGTATAGTTACTCACGTACACATTTTCTCAGGAATTGCTGCATTGCACATTATTATAATGGAAACTGTTTCTTACGTTGTAACCGGCCACTGTGGCATCAACATGGGGTCTTCAAGGCATGCTGTTTGTAGAGTCAGGTAAAATGAGGAGCGCTGAGACATCTTGAAACAAGTTCCCATGCAAAAATTTGGTGCACGTTTAATCTATCGCACAGGATCCCGATATATCTCCGTTTTGATGATAAAACCATAGTGGTTAGCGTGCAGCCGTCTTAAGTTTATTGATCTCGCATGTCCTAGCTGATTGCGGAAACCGACCGGCAGTACTACAACTACTGTGTTTGGTAACATGTTGTAAATGTTTATAAGTTAAAGCTGCATAAAGTTAGAATACACTAAATTCGCAACTTCGTCTGGCAAGGGTTGTGCGCATGCGGTAAGCTTATGCTTCTTCTAACACGTTCACAATTGAAAGCCGAAGTTTGATTGTAGATCATTAAGCCCGCTCTTGGTGACAGTTCTCTAGATTCACCTGTGCTTCGTTTCTCAGGTACATGCTTGCTATCGTTTGCTTTGACTAGGTCGCGGATGCGATAATGCCGTAAGATGAAATGTTTTCTATGTGACGCAGGAAGGAATGCATCTACTACTGCACGTTACTATACTTGCTAAACAATGAGGAAGATAGCTGGCACGTTTCTGTAAAGCGGCAAGCATCTTGCGCTGACGCGAAGTAATCAGGCTCGCGCATCATGCCTGACATATGCCTCAGGAAACATGTGGCGCTTTCAGTGGATAGAGTAACTGAATTTCTGCCCACTTGCTATATCACACACATAGGTTACTGTGTTCAGTTAACTTGAAGAAGCGTGCAACGAAAAACTTTGAAAAGATCTCCCAATGTAGACAATGATTAGAGCGTGTCTGTGCGCGATCGTTTTAGCGCTCAATCTCAAGTAGCCCGAAATCGATTATGAGGGATTAATATACCACAATATCATTGGTGTCAATATTAATGTCGAACGCACTGTATATTCACACATGCAATAATGCCGTATTCATCAAATAACTGCAGTTCCCGTTACGGCTAATTCTATTGAAACACCCGATAAGCCAACTCCATCGCATCAACGATCAGTGAATATCTGTATGCATTTAGTGGTTTAAATGGGCAACGTTGAAGGTTGATGCGCGCTACTCGAAGCTGCAAGTGATATACTCGCTGGTTCACCAACTGGCCTACTGCCGTACTGCAGGTTTAAACATCACATATGTTTTCACTAATCGATGTCAAAATATAAGCGTCGCAAGTTTGAACCTGAGTAGTAATGTTGCATAAACACATCACATTTAATTATTCCCGCAATGCCCACAGAAGTTTATTTCAGTAAAGCAATTGAATAAACCAATAATCTTCCTCGAATAATCACACATGTACCTTGGTTTTCCACTTTATTCACTCGTGGCTTTTGCACGCATTTCAGTAAGCAAACGAAGTAAGTCCTTTTCATATGTAAATCATCCGAATGTGACAATGAAGTATTAAGTGCATAATCTCTAAGTGTACTTCCAATCAAGTGTCTCACAAGTGTCAGATTTATGTGCTTGGTTGTTCAACTGCAATATCGCTCTCAGCTGCTTTGACTCCTTCTAGTCACTCACTTTCACAGGTCACCTGTTCATTTGTTACCAAGCAGCATTATCCGTTACCAAATGATTCTTGTTTCTATGATTCCACTCCGGATGGTTCCGTCGACATCTAGAGAGCTCGCCCAGTCACACTCCTTCGGCCTCGGTCTCTGTTCCGTCTGGCATGCTTCAATCTACGTACACTCATGCAGATCGGGCAGCAAGCTGGTCTTACGCGCACCTTGGAATCCCTCGCCATCGATGTTTGCTGTCTTTCCCAAACGCGTTTACAAGATCCTAGTACTGTGATTAATTTGAGATCTCCCACCGACCATGGAGCCATATTTCGCCTACGTCTATCTGGTGACGCAGAAGCAGCTGCGGCTGGCTTGGCTGGCGTCTGTGTAGCGCTAAGTAGCAAAGCCGAGGCAGAACTGCTGGACTGGTTCCCGATTAATAGCCGACTGTGTGCAGTTCGGCTTCGGGGATAATACAAGATAAACAGATGTCGTGAGGAGAGACGCACTTTGTTTGTGATTTCAGCTTACCCTCCAACTGACTGCAGTTCCGACTCCGTCAAGGACAATTTCTATCGTGTACTTCAGCAACTTTTGAGCAGAGCCTGCAAATCCGACATTGTTGTCCTTGCTAGGGATCTCAACGCACGGGTCCGTCGTCTGCTGGCATGCGAAAGTCACTTTGGAGGTCACCGTGCGATCAATGAGGGCCGCTCAGCTAATGGAGAGAGAGAGTTCTCCCACTGTGTGAAGATAAACAAGTTTTTTCTCTCGAGCACCAACTTTCGGCATTCGAGGAGATGTTCCGCTACTTGGCGACCCCCTTCTGCGTCTCAGTTATGGACTCAGATTAATTATGTCGAAATCAGTTTCAGATGGAGGGGTAGTGTAAAGGATTGCAGATCCATCTGGTTCACTCTTCTTGCCTCAGACTATGCTCTTGTCTGTGCGAACATCTGCTTGAGTTTCGGAGGGTCCCCAAAAATGAAGCGTTGTAAGATAGACACAGATAAACTATCTACTGATTCGGTTCTGCAGAGTTATCAAGCTTCCCTGACTGGTGCACTCGGGTGCGACCCACCGCAAGATATTGCTGAACACTGGACGTGCATTCAGAGGACCATGATCTCTTCCGCGCAGCAAGTCTGTGGTTTTCCTCAGCACCCTATGAAGGACTGGATCTCTACGCACTCTTTGGATTTATTTGATCGCCGCAGGAATATCCCAGCGGAATCTAATCATGATGAAGTGCGCCGTTCTGTCAGTCGGTAGCTCAAACAAGGCCTACGCAGTGACGGTGAAGCCTGTGGTCCCCGCGTGCTTCGAAAATGCAGGCCGCTGTCCTTTCTTGAAATACTCACAAGCTCTTCCAGTTCATTCGATCCACTGGCCACAGCGGGCTGGTGTCAGTGAGACTATATGCGAAGCGGATAGTTTGCCGATTGTCAACTTACAGAGACGCTTGGGCCGATGGGCCGAATATTTTCATCCCCAGTTCAATTGGCCCTCACCGTCCACTCATATCCCCTTTGAACCCAGTTGCCCACCCTGGGTCGTCACACTTGGTCCACCACCGAATTTGAAGTTTGTCATGCGATTCGACACCTAAGACGATTCAAGGCTGTCGGCTCAGACAGACTTCCTCCAGGGCTGTTTAAATATGGAGGCTCGGTTATCAGTAGCCAGCTAACCTCCTTGTTCTCCGAACTGTGGCATGAAGAAAGGGTGTCTTCTTCCTGGGGTGAGTGAGTTATTGTCCCGGTTTTTAAGAAGGGTGCTCGCACTTCGTGTAAAAATCAACGGGAATTAGTCTCATTTTGATTGCCACCAAGCTATTTGCATCCATTGTACCTCGTAGACTATCTCCCATTCGCGAATCGCATTACCGGTAATAACAAGCTGGCTTCCGACCTGGCCGAGGGTATGTGGATCAGATATTCACACCACGTCAAATCCTGGAACACCGCCACCTTTACCAGATTCCTACCATCGTTGCATTCCTTGACATCCGTGACGTATTCGACTCGGTTGATCGACCTGCACTATGGCGTTGTTTGCTAAGGAACGGTGTCCCAGAAAAGTACACTGCCATCCTACGCCCACTGCATTTCCACATCTCTGACAGAGTGAGGGTGTATGCCAGGCTTTCGTCGTCCTTCGCTGTCAACGCTGCACTATGTCCCCGTTCCTCCTCAATTTTGCGATTGAAGACATCCTGTTGACAGCTCTAGACGGTTGCCAAAATTTTGGTATACTGCTATTCCTTTCCCCTACCAAACATTACAACTATACTTCCTTATTTCATCGTAAAACCCCATCTACGCCTCGTTCCGCCCTACGTTCCGTAAAATTGTTATCACCTCGCATTCCCATGATCCTAAATTGCCTCTACACATTTGTCTAACTTTGTTTAAGATCATTAACACTTTGCACTGCACCGATTAGAGTCGTCTAGTGACCACCGATTATATCTGTCCGCTGATCCTTTGTTCCCAACGGAGGAGCCTATCTGATCATTTCCTCCTTTGTCTATGTGCATCTGTGACTCGGTGAACGCTGCGCAAGGCCAACTTCACACCTCCTGAGGCTTATTCAATCAGCATCCTTTTTGGACTGGTGATCAGGTAACCTCACTGCTGTACTCATGTCATATACATGTTATAAACTACTAAGGTAGTGCGATTTCGTACAGCGCGCACTGAAGCTGGACTTGTCGACTCGGACCAAACGATTGTCATTGTAATTGTCCCGAGTTTGGAAGTATAATCGTTAAGGTATTTATTGTATATGCGCATTTATTTATTTGTACATAACACCTTTATCCAGTTCCGCATTTGAGGTTTCTTTGATCCCGGTGGAAACACGTCACTCGAACCTACCAAGCAAATTTTGTTGCTTACAAAGCCAGCAACCGAATTAGATTACGCCGATGATATCGCCTTATTGGTGAGAACTCACAGAGCATGCAAACCATTCTAGACAGCTTGGCGGTTGAAGCATCTAGGTACGGAATGTGATTTGCCCTGTCAAAGTGTAAAGTGCTGCCTCAGGACTGGCACTCAACTATTACCGTGCTCAACATTGAAAGTACACAGCTTGAACAAGCGGATAACTTTGTCTAACTTGGCAGCTGTGACTGCTGGTGGTGCCATTATAAGGGAAGTTTCTATTCGTATCGCCAAAGCTCGATCGGCGTTTGCCAACCTGCAGCACTTGTGGCGTCGCCAGGATATCTCCCTCTTGGTAAAGCGACTTGTTTACAGTGCCCCTGTTCGGGCGGTGTTGAAGCGAGTCATGGCCAGTACGGGTAGATGATATGCACCGGCTCTCGGCCTTCGACAATGGGTGCTTGAAGAGGATTGCTTGTGTGTGGTGGCAACAACACATTTGCCACAGTGAAGTCAAACATCGTGTCTTAGGAAATGCGAGTATTCCCTTCAACAAGCTGGTTTTGCTGCGCCAGTTAACCTGGGTCGGTCATGTCCTGCGTTTGCCTTATTGCACTCTGTCTGTCCGTGCAGGACTCAAGTGGAAGAGACCATGTGGTGGTTCACCATCCGCCTGGCAACAGCAAATTAAATCGTTGACTTCACGTCTTGCCACCATTGGATCCACACGCCTGCCTAGTTGGCGACCAAAGGATGAGGAGTGCCGATGGCTGGAAACGATTCAGGATATGGCTCGTAATCGAAAGCAGTGAAGGATCTGTGTATATAACTGCTTAGATTTGGATTAAAAACGACAAAAAGTTAAAAAATGGCATGTGCCTACTAACAAAAATGCTCCGTTATTTTTTATATTGCGGCACAATAGCTGATGTGTGTTGCTCATCTTCAGTTAACGTGCCATGACGCTGCTACGGTGTACAACCTGTCTTCTTTTAGTGATTTCCAAGGTTATGTTTGGCTCTGTCTATTTGCTAGACTGCGGACTATGCTACTGTGTATCCAAGCTAGCAGTAACCGTTACTCTTCAACTTGGTAAACAACATGATAATGTTGGCATTTACTCAGCGGTTAATGTACTCGTAAGTTGCTCAGTTATCTTACGCTCACTCGTGATAATCTATTCATTTACATCTAAACAGATGCGACGAAGCCAACACCACCATCTGGTAAGTGACTCCTATCGGTTTAGCCCGATCTCTTAACCGTATTTCACACCAAGGTACTCAAAGTCGAACGTTTGTATGCGATTGCTGTGATTTGGAGAGATGAACTATGAGTCGGAACTGTTTCACTTTCTTCTTTTCCCATGCCTTTAACCTCCGCAATCAGCTTTTAACCGGATATTAGGTGAGTTTTATCTCAATCAATCTTCTGGTGCTGCCTAGTATCCGTTTCGTCATATCTCAATGAATATGGTTTGTAAAGCGCAGTTCACCGAAACTCATTTGCCAAGTTTGTAAGTCTAATAAGTTTAAGACTTCATGTATTTAGAAGCAATGATTGCATGGTGTGTCTTTTTAACTATTTGGCAAAATCTTGGCGTTATCATTAGCTTCTAATGATTGAGGAAGCGAAGATCTCCATAACCTACAATTACAAAAACCGGACTATATGGTGATTTGAGATGTTATGCATCAGGCAGATGTGACCCAGTCAACTTGAGCACCAAACAGTGTTAACCAGCAGTAGCACTTCTTCTGGATGAAGAAGCTATCAATTCGTAGCTTTGCACATGGTCTGTCGAGTGATTGTGACAAACATATTCGGCGAATTGGTCATCAAGTGTGCATTGTCCGATAACATTTGATGTTTTCCGACCACAGACAACTGCGGGGGTGAAAGGAATGGCCCGAACGGAACGATATCGTTCAAGGGAGATGAAAAAGTGAATGCATTGTGTATTTGGAGATTGAGGGTTGGCGAAGGGAAAAAGGTGCACCTCCAACTGAGAGCAAAGCAAGTAAGTGAATTGATTTCCGAATCTGGTCGTGATTTAGACCTTAAAGTCTTTCTATCGAGGAACTAAGTTTTAGCCATTTGTAAATACATTGTTTCTCTCGGGACCGTATTGTTTTCATGATTATAAAGAGGATCCATAACACCTGCCTAAAGCTACGCCTTTGGCAAGCCGTCATTCATCACTGATGAGAATACACCTAGAGCGAATGGAACGCTTACTTTTAAGAGATGTGGCGAATTTCTACCTGTAACTTTATTTTAATTTGCTCATGATTTATTTACTCAGTTCTTTAAGTAACCAACACAACGATGAAGCAAGTTTCTCTTACGTGAATTAAGTGTGCCTGTCTTCCTCACCTCATGGCTAATCCCCCTGAATACCCATCTACAGTCTGCATCAGTTGGTTCGTGGATCCGCCTACTGGACGGAAGCAACTGTTCTGCTCGAGAACTTGCCTACATTACAGCTCAGAGCAAGTCGCAAACATACAATGAAACCTCCACGTCAAACGTGATGATGGTGATATTTTCATCAGTGAATGGTTTCCCCCCAGAAGAATTCCGAGCATTCTATTGGGATGGTAAGTGTCGGGTATTCGTGGACTGAAATGAAGGAAAACCAGTGTTTAATTAACTACCGCTATAAGTAATGTGTTTGAATCGACTACTTGGGCTCCATAAGTCCTTTACTTGGTACAATATTCACTCTGTGGGGTTAACAGATAAGCGATAGTGGTCTACTCTCCAAAAGAGCCACTAGATTTGTCAGCTGTAAAATTCGACTTAAAATTCCCATATAAAAAGTCGAAGAAACTGCGTTATTTTGGTTTTTGTATTATCACCTAGACATTGGAGGCGATCAAATAACTTGAATGGTATCACTAAGATTTCTCGTAGAAATAACATTTGTCGTTGTCATAACTGAGAACCAAGAATTTGGGGCGAACTGATGCTGTGTTGTTTCCATGGAAGACGGAGTTGACTACTGGAAATATATCATTGACCAGTTCGTTTGTTCCTGTTGAACGATCAATGATTGACATGTCCATTCCTGAGATCAAGCAAGCAGAGTAAAGTGGAGAAAAAATCGTAGTGGTATCCATTAAGTTCTATGTATTCATGCTTTGCGCACAGGTGCTTTACATATCAGTTAGAATGATTGCTAATTTCAAAATCCGAAAAATTATAGTGGCCAGCTATCTTTTGTTGGATGGACTCTCGTGATATCAACGTACCATCTGACGATAGAACACCACGGTTACGAACTGAGATGATAATGACGAATCCGATTTACTTTTAACCAAAGCTAGTGTACCGTTTTCTGACTGTCTGGGTATTTGAGTTTTAGCTGGAGATTATAAGGATACAGAGACATGCAATATTGTCGGAAACTCGGCACATGCTAAAACCTTACAATTAACTGTTGATGACATCACAACAAGAGATACAATGTTATGTTTGACTAGGCCTTCTTTTTGTGAAGTGGACAGGGTAATGTGATTGGAAGTATTGATTGCGGCGTTTGCATATTTGTAGAGTGCAGCCGCTGTTATTCTGTCAACCCACTGGTCCAAATCTATAAATCGAAATAGTAGTTTCGCTGATTCCGGTCCCCAGTTAGTGCATAAACTCGCACTTCCGATGCATCTAGAAGCAATACCGTCCAACTATCTTCTGTGTGTGTTGGCCATGTAGTTGAGTGGCGTTGTAACAATCGGTCTTTGAAGCCCTATGCTTGCCAGAAGTAGAGTACGATTTAAACAACTACGACGACTTTCTGGGCATCTGTGATAAATTAAAGGGGTGCGAACATCGCAATACTGAAGCGCTACTGCGGTCCCCTAGTAAGCGAAATAAAACATTGTTTATGGTCCGGAGATGAAATTTCGAATTGTGGGTTACTGAGGTGGATTCCAAATACGTTTCTCTCTGTGCATGCGTTGCTACACGACGGACTCATACAAAACCTTCCGCAGATGTGCTCACTGTCTGTTTAACCACAAAAGCACATGAACGAGATCTTCTCCTTCACATGAAACTGTGTTGTTCTATCCACGTGAAATACATCTACAACACCGCTTCGTCCTTTCGCTACTGCACTTACCGGGCACCTGATGTAATGACGATCGCTTACACTTTGCGTCTCCAATGTTATCGATTCAATGACACACAGATTGTCCTGTTTCATTGTGGGTCTTTTCAAAGAATTAGGGACATCTCGAGTGGATCCTAGTGATTGCCTACGTACATGCATCGCGATTTCTCTTCCAAAACAGATCTGTCAAATTACCGATGGGGCGAAAATTGCATACATCGTTCCGGTCTATCCCTCCGCGAACAGTAGCATAGGAAGCGACATCAATGAATCATGTCAGCATGTCTTTCTTTGGTACTATCTAAACCATACGTGCGAACATCGAAATCGACATAGACGACAAGAGTGCCCTCTTCGGCCATTGCTCTGAACCGGAGAATGGTTCTGGTTCTGTATTGCAGGCAAACCTTTTGCTTTGTCCCCAAATGATAATCACTCTGTCTAACTTAAAAGGATTTCCCACTTTATGTGAGTGATTGTGAACAATGAAGTAGATGAGATGAAGTGGAAAAGTGATTAGAAATTGAGGAAACTACTATAGCTTGTTCGATGAAGGAGGCATGAAAGTCTTCAGTGAATAAGAAGCTGCTGCTAAGGCATAACAATTGAATAAATCACTCACCTCAAATTAGCCATTTGGTTGAACTGTTTTGAATAGATGTGGAATGGGCGTGTCCTCTCAGTATGAATAGATGGATCAAAGGAGTGAGCTAGACAACCAATGGGAAACGGACATAGCGGATTCTATCGCTGGACACGGATTGGCTGATGTTCGTACGGATTCCCCACCGTTTGTTTAATTGAGTTAGTGATAGAACATCATCGCTTCATTAGGCTCATTAGTTATGTAAGTGAACAGACGATATACTTCGAAGAGTTTGGCGTGCCGACCATGCTCTAATTTTGCTGAACAGATTGCCAAATAAACGCATCATTGAAGAATTGAGTTACTTAACAGTGCATACTGGTAGAATGAAAACAGACCTTAGATATTATGTAACAGAGGCAATCAGCTGGATTACAGCTTGTGCCAAACGGAATCACTAATGCCTGAATTCCAGAAAGCCCTATGAATAGCCAAGGATCTTTTGGACTAACTGGTGATTAACATCGTGCCAGAAATGCATGGGTCAGGCCGCTTCACCAAACTAATCGCGCTCACCGAAACGGAACAATTCACAGTTACAAACAAAATAACTTGAAACGTTTTAGCCACCATTCCATGGTTAGGCTGCTAAACGGGAGCAAACCGCACATCTGGATAAATGATATGACTTACGACATCAGGAAAATATTATTTCAATATTACTGGTTTGTCAGTCTTAAAATGGAACAGTAAATGTTGTACAGTGAAGCAAGGAACACTTGGACGCATTTAAACCGTTCCTCGGGATTTAGTAAGTAGAAATGTTTGGTAATGAAATATGGGCCAAATTTAAATTTTGCTCCGATCGCAATGTTGTGTTCGAACTGCACTATAAAGAGCAACAGAAGCAGTGATGATGCTTTGACAATTAAGAATGCTGGTAAACTACTTATGAAGTATAAGTAGAATAATATGTTTGCGAAATGTAGAGTGATTGCATCCGTATGACTAAACATAATTGTGAGAAACCTCATGATACAGATGCGTTTGTTAATGGATTAATCGATGTCCAATTGCAAATCGAATGCCAAATGACCGCGATGTAACGAGAGAGTACAACAAAATATAAATAGGTTGCTCTCCAAGAGGTTCTGCTATAAGCACCTATAGATATTATAGTTTTCAACCAGTGCTGACGATTCCCGAAAGGATGAAACGCGCTTACAGTGCTTTTCCGGACGTGTGACGGCTGTCTGAGTGAGTCCAGATGTGACGAATTTCTACCTATACCATTCAACTCCCCCTACTACTCCTCTGAAATTCAAGTATATTGAGTAATCAGCTCCACACGTTTACGTTGAAAAATTACTGTCGGACAATGTCTTTCAGCTGAATGTGGGTTACAACTACGACAGCTTACAGATCGGCGCTCCAGTAGATCACAGCCGAGACTACGCGGAAACAATACGGTATTCGTGACAATATAGCGACCATAGGCTTGTGCACAACATGGATTGTAACGGTCCCCAATTCAGCATCGCAGTCAGTAAAAATATTGTCACTGGATATGAGCATGCAACCTTTACTAAACTTCACCGTTTTTAGGCAAATGTCGCGTAGCTTTTAATTATCCATTCGGCCGACGTAAAATTTACTCATTTCCATCCTGGCCATGGTCAGAAGTACTTCTGCAGACTAGCTCGTGTGTGCATGTATCGCTGTGTTACTTTGAACTCGGTTATGGTGCATAAAGATCAAACCTGCGTCAGTATTAAAGGACTAACGAGGAAATCGAGGTACGTGGCAGTCTGTAGATGCTCCCGGTTTATCGGTGTAAAATTCTAACTACAATTATTATTTATTGTATACTTAGGCGAGCGGTGATAATTGCTGAACTGGAGGTTGGGTTGAATTAGTTGAGTGAAGCGTCACGTTTTGCTTAGCGCTTGTTTCGATTGCGACACTTGATCGCTCTGTGCGCTGTCTTCGTTCCTTTTACCTAGCAGCGTTAACGATATTGTTTTGTAATAGGTAGGCAAACATGGAACCTTTTACTGTACAAATGAATGCTGTGACTCGATCCGTTTTTTGGAATCGCTATTTGGGCTCCCGCTAAAGGTGGCGTTTGTAATTTGCGAAACTCACACACACATTTTAGAAATGTTGACTCAGATAGTCTATGGCACATGTTATAACTACATGAGGATTTAGTGAACCAAGCAATTTGAAAATTATGCACTCTCTGATTCGTGCCTATACTGCGATTGCCCACATAGGGACGGTGCCAACTACAACGACGACCACCACAACCTCAAGTGAGACAAATTCCACTTCAACGGTGAAGACCAGGGATGACGAAATAAACTCAGGTACGATGCATACTACTATCAACGACGGGTTTCCTCAATTGTCGGTTTACTGTTTTTAACCTACGGTTCAATACTCTTATGGTCACAAGAGGTGGTCTTAGTAAGATGAGTTCCCACAGACTACAGACTTATGTGCCACCGTACGCCAGAATATGCGATGCTGGTGAAGTTAATCCAAAATAGGACAAAGTACCTCGGGAAGAAAGTTAACTGCCAATAGCTCAAACTGCAGGGGGTTAGTTGAAATACATGGATCTATAGGAAATGATTTTTCTCGCAATAGTTTCCTGTTTGATAATCTAGGTGACATGAATAATCTCTTATTAAACAAACATTTGTAGGTTTGGTACAAACATGCCAACTCCGTGCATACCCTCCTGCTGTCACTTATGCGCTCGTCTCGGGATTTGATGTCGGGTCACTTTTTGCTGCACCATAACAAATTCCACCACATTTTTGAGTCTGCGTCTGGCTTCGTTTCTTCAAACGCTGGATTTGAATCGGATACTGTTGGCTCTAACCCCAACAATTACAAATCAGGCTTCGCATTACTAATTGACGAATGTTGTGAGCTGTGTTTATGCACTGCAACTCAGGACCGCCAACGCATTCGTCTCCAACGGCGCAAGAACTCATGGGAATGTGCGCTTGCTTTTAACTACATGTATAATAATCGTTGCATATACCACGAGCAATACATTTTTCTTAGATGTGTTCATAGCTACCACATGGGTTTCCGACCACCCAAAAGAGAAGAATGCGTTCCTTCCCCTATGTTTCTTATAATTGGTAGTAGAAGGCTGTCGAAACTTCTTGATGTTGGAATGGGTATCCACGGGAGCTCTATGCGGCTGTGCTCTTTCTACTCTTTTGCTTCACCCAAACTTAGCCAGTTATCCCCACCCGCATATTTGCCTACAATGATTCCAACCGGCTCGACGAGCACGATGTATGCCCCACATGTTTTGAAACTATGCTGTGTGGCTTACATTTTATTGCCGTATCACAGTCTTGACGATGGCATCGCAGAAACACATGCGTTACGTAATGAAGAGGGTTGAAATTATGGCCCACCAATTCACCTTGCATCGGAGTGCTAGATAGTCACCTCCACCAGACTTGAACCGGAATCAATCGATCCAGAGGAGCGACAAATTCTCATAAAGTTCTGCGCTTACGTGACATTTGAATCCGAGTTATGCGTACCAGTGCTATGGATAATTGTCCAAGCTCCAAAAAGCACAACAAGAAAATGGATCAATATTGGCGTCTTTCATACATCCACTGCTAAACTGCATAGAAATGCCTGCATAATTTGAAATATGAGGCAGTTGACGAAAGTGTCTCAAGATACGCAAGTTCTTATTCTGTCAAGCAGTGAGGCTTGAAGATTTTCACCCAATACCTTTCTGAATTTGTAGACTTCGCTTATTTTCTCTATCGCGCGCACAAACATTGGTAACGGAGTCAATGCATTACCCCAACCCATTTGCAGCTCGAAGCTTTCTTTAACTAGGACAGCAAACACTGCATTTGGCTAGCACAGGTGTCTAGTTAAAGTCGGCGCTTACCAGAAAAGCACACCAACAATTCCAGTAAAATGAAAAAGCTGACGTGGCTAATTTGACACACACGTTGCATCGCAAAATGTATCCCTTTCTACTGACTCTGTGTAAAAAACTCACTCATACATTCAAGATTAAGCAATCCACCTTATTAATAAGCGATAGTATTTCGTCATAAAAATTAAGGCTTCCTTCATTGGAATTACGAAAATTGTTTTTAAATTCACTTACCGATTCTCCTGTTTGCACGCATCGATTGCATCGACGCGGCGGAAAGCAGTCCCGACTCCAAGTGGTGCCTTCAAAGATAACGTGACGGAGATACCCGATCACACCAATTCATGGGGTGAGTGTGGCTCAGTGTGACCTACATACATGATCCACCATGTTTTGACACTTGATAGGACCAGTGCATTTTACCTATGCTTTGGATAAGCGGATGTGATAGTTTATTGACTGTCAAATGAGATTGCAAGAATATATGAAAGACCCACAGACCATCTTGCGCAGCACTACGCTGACGATGGCAGTTGATAAGAAGTAACTTTGGAGGTACAGTTTCGAATATAGGCAGTATCCGATGTCCGCATTTTACCTAGTTTCCATATTATTTTCTCATTCGCTCCATTGCACCCCTTTCCCAACTCATGATCAGCACCGAAACTCACTTGCAAAGTGTTGGCAGCCGTGCTCGTTCATTCTGCCTACTATGCTTTCTGGATTACAACACATTGATGCTATGAAAGCGATGGTCATCTACGCACCTACATCAACACGATATGCGTCGTTCTTGAAAATATCGCTCATGTCATCCAATCTGATTCAAACATTATCAACTACGTTAGTTTTCGGAGTGTGATCTTTCCCTAGTAATGTGACAGTCATCTGCATTTCCGCATTCACACCGTGTGTCCCATTATTGGCGTGTTTTCACTGCTCTTTCAACAGTCATCTATGCGAGTGTCATTTCTGATTAAACCTCA